AATTGTGCAACATTAACGGAGCGACTGATCTTCCATATTTACCAATCATTTTCTGATATTTCGATTGCACACTGTTTGTGTATAACAATTTGGACACAAGAACATATGTACGTTCATACGCTCATTTACGTGAACTTATTTCCCATCACCTCGTAACACTACCTGCAGGCCTACCGCGAGTTGGTTGAGTTACAGAAAGAGGAACGATCGAACAAACACGGAGATAATACGATGCAAACCAAGTTACAGAAGTTAAAGGAGCAGAATGAACTACTGAAACCGTAAGTAGTGACGTTGGTATCGCTTCAATCCGTATTCGATGATGTCATATGGCTTTGTCTAAGCACGAGTTTTTGTCGATGTATAATCATACCAACTCTAGATTGTAAATTGCATACGCCTATAATTCATCTATGCATATATATATATATATATATATATAAACGTTTATGCATGTAACTTGCTAAGAGGTATGTCATACTATACTTCATACCACAATCTTCAGCCAATAGGCGTGCATGTATGTTGCAGCGAAATCCCAGGTATACTCTGACCTGATATCGATCAACCGTACACTAATCGTATAGAATGTCTTCCTTGATTTAGCTTATCGGTGCGATGTTCTCCGCAATCTCAATGTGATTTTCAATTTTGGACTGATGTATGAGATTTTTCTTTGGTTGTCGTCGCAGCGCCTGAACTGTACTACGTAAATAGTCGGGGAATATCACAACACACGGATCTGTTACGTATTTGTAATGCGAGATACACACGTGTGTATATTTTTAGCTCCCTGATGCATCCATCTGTATTTACACGGTGTTGGTATGTATAGAACAGTGGAATTTTCAGCTACACGTACTTGATATGGATGAGGGTCTCGGGATCTTATGTCATCCCATGTTGGTTGAGACACGTTCTTGTTCCCAAGTTAAGCGTGCGACGTCAGGAATGCTTTTTTTGTTGTTGCAACTATTCAAGCAATAGAACAACACTAGCCTTTAAAAAATGTGCATAATTCGGATGCTTGTTGGCGATTTGCTGTGACTAACTAACCTGATTTGATCCTGTGACTGGTTGTGACTTTCAGGGAAGTCGACCGTTATCGTGAGCGTGATGCCATGAAAAAGGACCTGGATCTAGTGAGATTAAAGCATGCCTGGCTGGAGTACGAGGCAATGCGAGACCAATACATGGCTGAGAAAGCTGAACTTAAATCGGTAGCGGAACAGCTGAAGCAGGTTTGTTGAAGTTTATGTATAGTTTCATACGTGACTAAGATGCGCAGAAACATAAGCATGTCGCAGAGTGTTCATGTTCACAGGGAAAGTACCTGACAAGCGCGATTCTTTTCTCGGGGAAGTTTGTTCTCGGTATAGAAGTATAGCCATGTACTTGCTTTCTCACGTTGATGCTTGCCTGTGCACCCCTTTTGCACACACAAACACAGCAACAACGATTCAATAAACCAATGGAGGAGAAAATGAAAGTGTTGAGAGAAACTAGTGATCTGCTTGAGAACGCAGCAAAGGAAAAGTCGGCAAAAAGTAAAGCGACATATACGAAGTGCAAGGAAATTGTAAGCTTGCGTTGTAGCTTAGAAGTTCATATAAACCATATAGTGAGTAGTTTTTTAACTGTATCATAAAGTTTGAAGTCCATTTTCATCTGCGTTTGGTAGCAAATCGTTGTCCTGGAATACACAGCACAAACACACACACACTTGCACACAAACGCATAATCAAAGTGTACATATACTCACTCACACACGTACACACTTACACACATGTAAACATACACACGTAGGTAAACACACAGAAATATATATATATATATATATAAATGACGCACACAACATACAAACACACACGCACACACACGACATAAACACACATACAAACACACGTGCGCGCGACTTTATACACGTAGGCACACATACACAAATACATATGAACGCATAGGCACCTAAACATACATATGCAAATATCTGTAAAAGGAGAATTACGCACTCGCACATATATTTGCATAGTTACGAGCACATGTCCCGCTCATGCACACGGATGACCACGCCACACATCAGCACACACACGCGCATACAACACATGTGCAAACGGAAACATACATAGTCTATGACGGGAAAACAATAAATTTTTATTGGCACACACGCTCGCACATGCTTCACGGAATTACAGGTCACGAAGATGTGTATATAAATAAACTCATACATGAACTCGCAACTGCTTATACTATCTTTCTGATTCAGGAAAAGCAAGTTACGAAGATGGACGATGAATTCGAACAAGCGTACGATCACCACCAAGTCGCCACTACGAAAGAACAAGGTCGGAAGAAGGAGCAAGCCAACGTGGAGAATGAGGTCAAAGCGATTCAGATGGCGGTATGCATAGCACAGTATATGTATCTATGAGATTATTTGTAGGGATATCACTTCAGATGCATAAAGCTATGTTGTATATCTATATACGGATATATACGTGTGGTATGTAATGTGCCATCGCACCGTTGTGGTTACTTTCTTTATTTCGTCTTGTTGCACCCGCCTACACACTTATTTCCGTTGTTGAATATTCACTTGCCTGGCCCTTTTCTACACTTAAAATGTGTCCTGGTGTGCTAAAACCCTAAACCCTAGAACCCTTCGTATGCAATATGGCCGTACGCAGTAGTTTCTTCTATTTTTCGAATCAATAACATCAAATAGTAATACATTGCCAAAATTTACACATACATATAAGTCATAGAAGTTGTAGTTTTATGTGTATATACCCGTATTCATCGGCATTTATTCATATTTATATGACCGCTTGCTTCAGATTGAGAAGTCTGAGACAAATGCCGATGAGCATGCGCAGATCAAGGAAGAAATCAGCAAGCACAACGAAGCGCGTAGAGGCATCAGACATAAACTCGTTGAAGTGGAAGCTGAGCTGACAGATATACATCAACAACAGACAGATACAAAGGTCTGTAACGGATGTTTTGATCTGTAAATGTACGTATACGTGTGTTTAGAATCTTATGTTTTGTATATTTATCCTATGCATTTGACAAGATCTGCATGTTAAGGGACTCTGATAGGCCATTATTGGGCACCCATCTACTTTATTTATATTTGCTTGTCGTATTTAAGGCATGTAGAGTCGATGAGCACATATGCATGTACACAGAATTCGTCTCATCTCTTACAATACTATATCGACCCCTACATGATACAAATACATGCATGTTCATCATATTTACTTTCCGCTATGTTTACAGCATAATTTGGAAGAGGCCACTCGACAATTGGCGAAGCTATCGAGTAAGGAGAAGAAGATCCTCGACTATCTAAGATCGAAGAAGTATGTCGATTCTTGTCATGTACTAATTGGTGTTTGAGGATAATGGCAGTATAAAAATCATTCTGGATAAATGTTAAAAGAGCATCATGCTATATGTTATGTCAAACAGAGGTTAAAATTTTGTAAATATTCTCCACTTTAATTTCTGTCATAAACGAACTACACCCAATTGATAAAGGTCAGTTCATTAGACTGCATCTTGTTATTTAACCGTATGATTTTCGTAAAACTAATCTCACTCCCTGTTGGGTCGCGCATATGCTAAATAGATTCGGTTTTTCTCACATACACAGCCAGCAGGAAGATGTTGCAGCAGTGGAATGGTTGCGTAACAATAAACATCTGTTCCAAGAACAGGTTTTCGAGCCAATTTTGACTCAAATCAACTGCAAGGACGATTACACGCGCACTGTCATTGAGAATACAATGAACTGGAAGGTGGCCAGGTCCTTTGTTGTGATGAATAAAGAAGACCAGGTGAGTGTACCAAGCGTGTATAAAACGAATAACAGCAAGTATGTTTTTTTTTGGATACTCGAACGGTTTCTTATAGCTATTTAAATGTACAGATATCAATATCTCAATTCAGTGTAAGTGTATGTTTGTACATATGTATGTATGTGTATACTTATATAAATATATATATATATATATACTATTGCACATATATCGTAGAAATATGGTTAGAATTTATATATATATATATTTATATAGTAAATATTTGCACCTCAATTTGTTCATCAGAATGTTAAGGTTTAACCAAATCAGGAACATGAAGGGTTGTAAAAGACTTTTAGTATTATATACACATACTCGTATAGACTAGATTCCTGAATATATGCAATTGTTCGAGTGCTATTATTAGTTGACCAACATAAAGTCTCTCTATTTTTGCAGGAACTGCTGGCAAAACTTGTGGTCGACAAATTAAGACTCAAAATCAATATCATTCGTGCTCCAGGACCCGAATGGCGTGGACGTGAGACTGAAAAAATCGAGGATCTGAAGGCGGTACGATCAAATTGACATCTGAGTTGTGAATTATGAATTATTCAACTTCACTCGAAGTGGTAATTTTAGTAGGAACCCTTTTATTTTACCAGAGTCGCCAAATTTACTCCTTTTGACACCGCTTCTGATATATATATATATATATATACATATG